AAATAATTAAATATCTTAAAGCAAGGGCATTAATAGCCAATACACATACAAAATCCCATAAATTATTAGACATCAAAGAAATGCAATCCAATTTAATTCCACAATTAGATGTTCTATATACACTTCAAAATGACAATAATTTAAGAAGCACTCTAATATTAAACATTGGTAAATATATGGAACTTTCAAACACTGTAAATGGAAGTAAAATTGGTGCAACTGCTTAAGAAAACTCATTATATTATTTTTTAAAGCCAAACATCTGTACACCTTATATCCCTCAAATTCTACTCAGATATATGTATATCTCTAATTATATATATGTACATATACATATGTGTGTATACACAAATATAACAGAAATGAGTTTATGTTTGCATTAAAAACATATAAAATGGGTCATATCAACCTTATTTATAATAGTCTCAGACTGAAAATCAACTAAGTCTTCAACAACAACAAAATTCCATAAATTGAGGTATATTCTTAGAATAGAATATTGCAAAGCAATAAAAATGATGCTTAGCAATCCATGGTAGCCAATAACAGTCCTGAGCTTTGTGCCCCTGCACTCAAGAGAAATGTCTAACAGATTCAGTGCCCATAAAATACATAAACTTGGGCCTCTAGGCTGACTATCAAGTACCAGTGGCTGGTATAGGAACCACAGTAATCAGGGAAGTGGGTCCTGCCCCCAAACCTCTTGGAAGGTCCACAGCTGAGTCCCAGAACTGCCAGGTGACACACCTGTCATTCAGACATGTGGATCCATAGAAGGAATTTCTTGAAGATAATTAGGCAGCCAGTGGAAAACTTCATGAGTATGAAATACAGCACATATCACAAAAAGCCTTATGGGGGAAACCAGCCACCATTCGCTGTGCCTGGATACAAGCACACCAACCTGCAACTTGCACACTCTAGAGGGGGCAGCAGCCCTGCACCTCCTATGGGCCATTCAGCAGCATTGGAACCAGACCATTATGCCTCTACCTTAGACTGTCCCACACCACACACTCTGAAATATAAATGGTGGTGGTAAATGATACATCAGATTTGTCAGTTCTGGGTACATGGAACTTTTCCTTAGGAGAGCACATAAGACTGTATCCCCCGACCCAATAAGGAGTAAACTGGCTCTGCTATGTTACAGACTAGTAGGGATAGTCTCCCCTGACTTATCAGAAATCTAGTAGTGCCTAAATGCACCAAAGATCAAAGAGGATCTCCTAGAATTGTATCAGAGGTGTGCTGTTGTAATCACTAACTTCCACACCCAGGAATAAACTTATGAGATAAAGTCAAGGAATGGTGTGTATCTTCTACAGGTTCCAAATCCTGATGAAATCCAAATCAGGAAGACTCAATAAGAAATCCTCAACATCAAATAGCTCAGTACAGGGTATTATAGATAATTAAATGTCAGTTTTGATCTTACAGACATTATTTTTCATACTGAATTAATGGATGTTCCATTATTGGAACATTGGCTTAGAAGAAAAGAATCATTGGCTTAGAAAAAAACATGAAAATACAAATTAAAGGAATGAAAAAAATTTTCAGAGAAATAATTAGAAAAATTTCCAATACTTGAGAATAAAATGGAAATCCAAAAAGAAGACTCAAATCAACAAAACTGAGGATGAAAAAGGAGAAATTACCATGGAAATTTGTGAAATCCAGAGGATCACCGGGAACTATTTAAAAAACATTCTAATAAATTCTAATACATTCTAATAAATCAGAAAATCTAGAAAATATTGACAAGTTTCTAGACACATACAACTTAACTAAGTTGAGCTAAGAATATAGAAATACTGAACAAACCAATATCAATCACTAAGATTAAATTAGTAATAAAGCCTCCCAACAAAGAAGAGCCCAGGACCAGCTAACTTCTACCAGACTTTTAAAGAAGAGCTAATATTAACACTCCTCAAATTAGTCAATGAAATAATGTTTTGAACAACCAATAAAAAAATAAAAAAATAAAAAAATAAATAAAAAGAAGTGAGGAAAGACTTCCAAATTAATTCTATGATATCAAAGCCAAGTAAAGATTCACCAAGAAAATAAAACTACAGACCAAAATCCCTGATGAACACAGATGCAAATATCCTTAATAAAATATTAGCAATCTGTGTTGAAAAACACATTAAGAAGATTGAACAACATGATCAAGTTGGTTTTATTCCAGGATGTAAGGTTGGTTAAACAAGTGCAAATCAATCAATGTAATTCACCACATAAAAAATTATGGATACAAATCATATGATTATTTCAACTGATGCCATAAAAGCATTCGACAAAATCCCATTTCCATTCATGGCAATAACAGTGAAAAAACTAGGGATAGTAGGAACTTACCTCAACATCATAAAGGCTATATGCAATAAACCCAAGCTAACATCATATTGAACAGAGAAAAGCTAAAATAATTTCCTGTAAAATTTGGAAGAAGTCAAGAATGTTCACGCTCGCCAGTCCTATTCAAAATAGCTCTTAAAACTCTAACCAGACCAATCAGACAAGAGAAGAAAATTAAAGTGATACAAATAGGATAAGAATGCAAATTATCTCCGTTAGCTTATAACATGATTCTATACTTAGAAAACACACACACACACACACACACACACACACACGGGGGGGGGGACCTCTAACAGAAACTCTAAGAATTGATCAATAAATCTATGAATAAAGTGTCAGGATACAATGCTCAAAACATAAAAGCCAATAACTCTCCTGAAAATAATTATACTCAGAGTAGCCTCATGAATACCTGTGAATAAATCTAACCATTGAAGTAAAAAACCTCTACAACAAAAATTATAGAACACTAAAGAAAGAAGTTAAGGGAAACCTTAGAAGATGGAAAGATCTCTCTGGAGATCATGGGTAGACAGAATTAATATTGTCAAAATGGCCATATTACCAAATATGATCCACAGATTTAATGCATCCCTATCAAAATACCAATTTAATTCTTCACAGGACTAGAACAAACAGTTCTAAAATTCATCTGGAAGAACAATTGACCCAGAATAGCCAAAGCCATCCTGAATAATTACAGCAATGTGGGACACATCACACTGTAGAGATATAGTAACAAAAACATCAGTATTGGCATAAAAACAGACATGAAGACCAACTGAAAAGAATAATAGACATGGAGACAAATCCACATGGATAGTCATATGATCCTTGACAATGGTTCCAAAACCATACATTGGAGAAAGGATATCCTTTTTAATAGTGCTAGGAAAACTGGATATCCACATGGAGAAGAATGAAACTAGATTCCTATCTTTCACCCTGCACAAAAGTCAAATCAAAGTGGATCAAGGAATTAGACCAGAAACTTTGCAACTGCTAGAGGACATATTCTCAACACTCCAACATATTGGCCCATTCACTGACTTCCTTCACAAGATCCCTGAAGTTCAAGAAATAAAACTAGGAATCAGTAAGTGGTATGGCATCAATCAAAAACATTCTGCCCAGCAAAGGAAAAAAGAATGAAGAGAGTCCACAGAAGGAGGAAGATGTTTGTCAGCTGCTTCTCTGACAGGGGATTAAATAGGCAGAATATATATAGAACTCAAAACTTAACATGATAACTAAACAAAACAAACAACAGAAAACCCCCAAATCCTAATTATAAATGGACAAAAGAACTAAACAGAAAACTGCTTGAAAGAAAAAACATAAATGGCCATATGTGAATATATGAAAAATGTTCAGCATCCCTAGCAATCAGCAAAATATAAATCAAAACTGTACTGAGATTTAATCTCATTCCAGTTAGAATGGCAATAATCCAGAAAACAAATAACAATAATTGCTGGCAAAGATTTGGGAAATGTTTGAGGTATACTCGTGCATTGTTTGTGGGGCTACAATTTAGACAAGAAATGGAACCACACGTGACTCAGATTTAGCACTTCTTGGTATTTATTCAAATGAACTAAAATCAGCATATATAGTGATAGAAGCTCATCAAAGTTTATATCAGTGCAACTCACAATAGGAATTAGAAAACCAGCCCAGATGCCTGTCAACAGAAGAATGGGTATATAAAATGTGATACACACACACACACACACACACACACACACACAGTGAAGTTTTAAACAGTCATAAAGAAGAATGAAATTTTGTCACTTGCTGGTAAATGGATGGAACTGGAGAACATCATGCTAAATGAAATAAGCCCAAAAGTCAAGTTTTGAATGTTTTCTTTCATATAAAAAAGTTGAGAGAAAAAAGGAATGTCATGAAAATAGAAGAGAGACCAATAAAGAAGAGGAAGGGAATGGACATGGAGGGAGAAGGGAAGGGCAAGGGGGATGTGTTGAGAACAAAATAGACCAAATTACCTATTCTTTATCCTTGACAGGTACAGATCAAGTAATCAGAACGAACACACACACACACACACACACACACACACACACACACACTGTATGTATATATTCCCAAGAATCTTTATCCTCATATTTTAAAATATATTTTTAATGGGTGTTCACTTTACTTGATGTTTTATTCAATACCATATTGTATTATTTTTGTAATTAGATATACATGTTAAAAATGGTAGTTCTGAGGAATGGTATCATTTGCTTCTGCACCTATTATGTATATTTCTTATTAAATCAACTCTAGACAAAAACTACAATGTTACTGTACATTATCCATTTTATTTGACACTTATTAAGCATTATTAATATATCTACATACTAACTTTCCATTAAAATATCTTTAAAATTATTACATTCATAAGTCTGATCTTAATTCTATTTGGGGCCAAGAATATTTTTGAAGACATTTATTTTAATTTGATATTTAGAATCAAATTTGCTGATGGTTCCATTTTAGAAACTGAATTATAACTACTAAAACCATGAATTAAAAATTTTAAACTACAACAATTTTCAAAATAAAGCAACAGATTACTGAAGTGAATTAACACAAACTTGAAAAATACCACTCTTGGTTACCTGAAGTGGGAGACTTGCAACGCTCAAGTTCCAGTGGAACTGGACTATCATTCAACTCAGTTAAACCTGAAAATACAAGGAAAAGAGAGATATATATATAAATTTTGATAGTACTGTATAGGTAATCCTTATTCCTTAGTAAAGTCTAAAAAGGTCCCCTTCCTGTGAAAAACCACATTACCATGTCTTTTATATAAAGTATTGTGAAAATTTAGTTAAAGAAGTGATACAGGAGAAACAGGAGCTATAGCTGATCAACAAAGGAAAATTAAAAATGGATGGTGGAAAGATGCAAATTTTCTTTATTATTTTTATACTTTAATAAATGATCCAATTTCATCAGAGAATAAAAATGAGAAACAGGGTTTTAAAAGTCATAATAAGATCCTTTATTTCAGGAGAACAGGTTATTGGCCTTTAAAAAATATTTAAAGAGATGCTACAGATTTAAAGTTTTGTATTTATTTATAAAAATGTAGTGCTATATATATTACATACTGATTTGTTCAATTACATCAATGTCATTTTTATAACAAGCACTACATTCATATTTCCAGTATTTCTTACTTTCTATTTTATAACTTTTCTGAAACATACAAGGATGAGTACAAAAGTTTAATACATGTTTTTAAATTCTATAAATACACATTCCTATGGCATTTAAAATATCCTTCATCATAGTTTTCTTATTCTTTTTGGAAAATCTAATATTCTTTTTTCTTTGTAAATAAGTACACAGAGTTTCTGATTGAATAGAAGTCCCTTTAATCAGAAACATTTGAACATTTGAGAGCTACTGTGAATAACTAAAATTGTCTTTGTTCATATTCCTTCCTATATCCTCGTTATTCAATTTATACCGATACATTTGCTGTAGTTGCAAAAACACATAGAATTTGGAGATGAAAAGGTCTCTTGTGATAATGTAACTTAACCCTCATGTTTTATATTTATCTATCATCTATCTGTTTTATCTTAACACACATACACTCACACACATGTATTTTTTTCAAAATTGAGTCTTTCAACCCATAAATATGGTATTCTCTCCCATATGAATGATTTTGAAAATATTTTCTTCTGCAATATTTTGTAGATTTCAGTATGGCAGTCTTATACATGGGATTTTTAAAGTCTTCTATTATCATGTCCCAAATTCTTGTTTTTACCAAGTTTCAGTAGACTTTTTTGAATATGTTTCTTCATTTGCTGTGTAAACTAAAATATTTCCAGAAACTACATGATTGTTTTTAATATAGTTGTCATCAGTTATGCTTTCTTCTTATTATTATTCTCTGGGCGAATGGGACCATATCATTTAGAAGACTATCCTCTATGTATTATCTTGGTTTTCTTTTGTCATGCTGGGATTGAATCCAGGCTCTCACAAATTGTAGGCAAGCATGAGATCACTGAGATATCTCAAGCGGTTTTTTAAATTTCATTTTAAGTCAAGGTCCCACTAAGTTTCCAGACTGGCCTTGCAAATGTGATCCTCCCATCTCAATATCATGAATAGCTGGGATTATAGTTTATTTCCTAATTGTTTACTATCATTTTATAGAAATACGACTGATTTTTACATACTGACATGTTTTCTTCAATCTTACTGAATTCACTTTTTATTTTGCAGCTTTCTTATAGATTCCTTTAGTTTTTCTATATATACCATAATAGCACTTATTTTTAGGTATATTATTTTTTTTACCTTGCTTTTGCCCTTACTAGGTTATGAAGTAAAAAGCTGAATAATGATGAGAGTTGATATCCTTCCTTTATTTATGATTTTAGGGGGGGGGAATATTTAATATGTTATAACAAAGTATGATGCTATTTATTTATTTTTTCATGAATAGGATTTATTCAATTGAGGAATGTCCTTGTTCCTAGTTTGTGGAAGATTTTTTGTCATAAATAAGTGTTCAATTTTGTCCAATTTTTTTATATGTATTGAGATGATCATATTTTTTTCCTTTAAATTCTATTTATCAATCATTTTACATTGATTGATTTTTAAATGTTAAATTAGCATTCCTGGGATAAATCTATCTTGTTTATAATGTTTATATTTCTTATATTTATGTGTCATATTCCATTTACTAGTTATTTTATGTATAATTTTTATATCTATGTTCATGAATGAGTCTGGTCTGTAGTTTTCTTACACTTTGCTGTATCAATTTTAGTCATCAACATTTTGATGGCTTTTTTCTGGTCCCTAAAAGGCTTCGCATTAAATGTCTCATAGGGTTAATCTATGGAACCATTTGAGGCTTAAAGTTTTCTTGAGGGAAGTATTTAATTTTGAATTTAAAAAAATTTAAAAGACTATTATTTATATTTTCCAAGGTGTTTTATGTCAGCTTTGGTAGGTTTTGTCTTTCAAAGAATCTCTTAAAATTCATCTAAATGTCAGTTTCTAGGCACACAGTTGTTCATAACATTACTTTGTAAATTTTAGTGTTTGTATAATCCATAGTGATGTTCCCTTTTTCATTTCATTTGATCATACATTATTTTTTTTTCCTGGAGTCAGTCTCAGGGTTTTTAGACTTTATTAGTGCTTTTGAAGTATCATATTGTTTTGTTGATATATAGTATTATTTGTCTTCTACTTCATTGATTTCTGACCTTTATAATTTCCTTTCATTTATGTTGTGTTTCTTTGCTCTTTTTTTTCTTAGCATCTTAAGAAGGAAGTTTAGATTATGGGTTTCCAAAATAACCATCCATGGTTTAGATTTTTATTCAAAGACTGCTTTAGCAGCAATATATATATATATATATATATATACGCATATATACACACACACACACACACACACACACACACACATATATATGTGTTTTGTTCATACTTTCACTCAGGTCAAAAATACATTAAAATGTCTTTGGTCATTTCTTTTTTAAGCCATAAGTTATTTTAAAAAAATTATCTCAGAATAGAAGACAGAAAGACAAACCCACAAAGATACAATTATCCGATCCTTGAGAAAGATGCCAAAACCATATAGTGTAGAAAAGACAACCTTCTCAACAAATGGAGGAAACAGGTAATCCCTATGCAGAAGAATGAGACTAGACCCTTATCTCTCACCCTGTACAGAGTCAACTCAAAGTGAATCAAAGACCTAAGAATTAGACAAGAAACTATGGAACTCCTAGAAGAAAATGTAGGGGCAACATTCTAGTATATAGACACAGGCAATGACTTTCTCAATAGGACACCTAAAGCTCAAGAAATAATGCCAGCAGTTAATTAAATGAGATGGCATAAAATTAAAAAGCTTCTATACAGCATGGGAAATCATTAAGAATGTGAAAAGAGAATCTAGAGAATGGGAGAAAATCTTTGCTAGATATCATTCTGACAGAGAATTAATATCCAGAATATATAAAGAACTCAAAACACAAACATGCACACAAACGTACATGCACACACACAAAAAGATGGGCAAATGAACTAAATATATCTCAAAAGAAGTAATTGTTGGCCATTTATATTTCATGAACAAATGTTCAACAATGGTATGATTTATATGGGAGATATGCTCCCAAAACTCATGTGTAAGACAATGTAAGAAAATTTAGAGGGGAAATAAATGATTTTATTATGAGCACCTAAACCTAATGAGTACATTAGTCCTATGATAGGGATTAATTGGGTTGTACCTGTAGGCGGGGAGGGGTGGGTGGAGAATGTAGATCACTGGGGGCATGCCTTGCGGTATATATTTTATTTTTGATGAGTGGAGCTTGCTCTCTGATTCTTAGTGTCATGTCCCCTTGGCTTTTCTCTGCCACGATGTTCTGACTCACCTCCAGCCCTGAGGGGTGGAGTTGGCCATCTATGAACTAAGCCTCTAAAACTGTGAACCCTCAAATAAACTTTTACTCTTCTGTTTATTCTTATTTAGAATTTTGTTCACAGCAGTGAAAAGGCTGACTGAAACAAATATTGTTATCAAGTAGGGAAATATAAATCAAAACTATACTGAGATTTCATCTGATTCACTTTAGAATGGCAGCCATTAATGATACAAACAATGATGAATGCTGGAGAGGATGTGGAGAAAAAAGGAACACTTTTACACTGTTGGTGGAATTGTAAATTAGTCAACCATTATCAAAATCAGTATGGAATTTCCTCAAAAAACTAGGAATGGAATTACCATATTACCCAGCTATACCACTGTTAATACCACTCCTCGGCATTGATCCTAAATAATTAAAGTCATCATTCTATAGCGATATATGCATACCCATGTTCACAGCAGCACAATTGACAACAGAAAAACTATGGAATCCACCTAGGATGAATGGCTAAATAAAGTGTGGTATGCATACACAATGGCATTTTATTCAGCCATAAGAATGCAACCATGTCATTTTCAGGAAAATGAATGGAACATGAGGACATTATGTTAAACAAAATAAGTCAAAATCAAAAAGTCAAGGACCATATGATTTCTCTCATATGTGACAAAGAAAGTTTGGAGTTATCTCATGAAAATCAAAGAGAAATCAATGCAGATAGACCAAAGGGACTAGATGAAGGGAATAGGGGAGGGAAAGGGGAAATACTGTGAAAATGATACTGGTTAAATTATATTGTTATATTCTGTACATGTACATTGTTACAAATATGTAACAATGTATTCCATTGTTATGTACAACTGTCATGCACTAATATGAACAAAAATAATAAAAACGTGTTCAGAATTTCCAATAGGGATCAATATCTAATTCAATTTCTTTTGTAGTCAGATAGCAAATTTTGCTTCATTTCAATTATCTGTAATTCACTATATCTTATTTTATGGTTCAGTCTATCATTATAAAAAGCTATATATCTACTTGAAAAGATATAATTAATAATATTAATCAAATACATTAATATTAATTAAAGATCCTACTATTAATTAAATATTAGTAATATTAAAGATATAATTAAAATATAATTTAAAAATATTTTAAATTTAATAGCACAGGTATCTATTTATGCGTGTTAGGTTAACTTGGTCAATAGAGTTCCTTATGTTGTTTATATCCTGAAGAATTTTCAT